CATGCCCCGAAGACGAGGCAAGGAGGGGTGGCCAAGACGGTGGTGCCACAAGAGAGTCTCGTGAGATAGGAGGCGACACGAGCAGGGGGCAGACTCAGGACCAGACCTGGACGCAGCAGCAAACACCTGACCCGACGCAGCTACCTGACCAGACGCAGGGACAGGAGGAGACTCAACGGTCAGGGTGTAGAGACTCGACCCGGGCCGACGCGAAAACGTGGCTAGGTGTCGGCCTGTGCGGGCGTCCGAGCAGTGGGTCCCCCGCTGACTCGCAGGAGTAAACTGGTGAGCCCTGCATCCTGCAGGTCAGCACCACTCACCAAGTTCGTCGAGAACGAGGGGAGGTACAGACCCGACAGGGTGCCCGAGGGGGCAGCCGGACACGGGAGGACAGTGGAGAAGTGAGAGAGGACAGGACCCCCAGAGGGGTCAGCCAGGGAGACTGCAACCGGCCGACCAAGCGACGTGAGTGTGGTGCGGTCTCAAAAGAAGGAGCGAGAAGCCCCTGAGTCAAGTGTGAAGGTGAGAGAGGCCGAAGCCGACGCAGTACCTGAGAGCGCAGCCTCACCAGTACCTGAGAGTGCAGACGCACTGGCACCAAGAGCAGAAGCCTCACAAGCACCTAGAGCAGCAGTACCAATGCCCAGGTCGGGCGGGAAACACCGGTAACAGTCACCCTCATCACTAATAGTCACAGCATACATGGCAGCAAGGATAGCATCAAAGTCAAGATCAAAGATCGCTACGCCAGCCCTAGATAGCTCTCCCCAGCGGGGAATCTCACTAGCCTCGGGGAATCTCACCGCCGCCGCCTCCGCTGCCGCCACCACCACCACCACCCCCACCACCACTCCCACCGCCACCCCCACTCCCTCCGCCACCGCCACCGCCACCTCCACCGCCCCCGCCAGCTCCACCCGCGCCCTTGCCCCCCTTGCCCTTGCTAGGGCGGCGTCTCCCGCTAGGGGCAGACGCCGCGCCGACCGACTTAAGACCAAGTAGGTCGGCAGCAGCAGCAGAGGCAACAGAGGGCAGCAGGGGGGAAGGAGAACACCCCTTAAAGATGGGGGTGCGCGGGTCACCACGAGAGGCTCCTACAGCGACTATGCTCTTCTCTGCCGCTAGGAGGGCCTTCTCGAGGAGGTCGACAGTGAGGGTGGTGGGACAGACTGAGAGGAAGTGGTCCCTGACTACGCGAAGGGAGTCAGGGAGGCGAGTGACTATGTAATAGAGAGCGATGTACATGGGGGGGGGGGTTCTTGGCGCAGAACTCAGCAGGAAGTGCAGCGCGGTAGCGAGTGTCAGAAGTGCGGAGGTGCGTGATGAGGTCAGCGACTGTAGGAAAGGCAGCAAGGTCAGGAAAGAGGTACGGTAGCATGAGGCGGCTCAGTGCAGCGGTGGCAGGGGAAGAGTAGCGCGCAACTACAGCGTCGTACAAGGTCTGAGCACTCTTGTACTGACTAAAGTGCGCGCGCTCAGTGGTAGGCAGGTGGCGACGCACAGCAAGACGTGCAGCAGCATCGCGGGTGGCCCACTAAGAGCGAACAGTGGGGTCAGCATCAGCAGCAGGAGCAGGGGAGGCGCCAGAGGTGAGGTCAAAGAGAGAAAGACCGTCCGCCCTATCGCACTGTAAAAACAACTGCAGGTCGTCGACCCATGACCTCAAAGTCAATGGCTCGACCCTCAGCGTCAAAAGCGAGGACACTAGGGGTAGCCATGACGACAGACTAGCAGTGCAAGCAGTGGGGGAAGGGCACGCAGTAGTAGTGGGGCTGTGCTCACCAGGCAGGGCAGGTCGGGCGGCTCGGCAGTAGTGCGGCTCGGCTGCGCTGCTGCTCGGCGGCGGCTGCTGGGCGGCTCGGCTGTACTGTGGGTCGGCGGCCCGGCGGCTCGGCGGCTGCTGCTGGGCGGCTCGGCTGAACTGCGGCTCGGCGGCTGCTGCTGGGCGGCTCGGCTGCTCCGGGACCGGGCAGCATGGCGGGCGGCTGCTCGCGCGGCTCGGCAGGAGGGGAGACCGGCGGGGCCGCGAAGGTGAGGCGGCGGGGCCGCTACGTGAGGGCGGCGGGGCCGTGAAGGTGAGGCGGCGGGGCCGCTACGTGAGGGCGGCGGGGCCGCGAAGGTGAGGCGGTGGGGCCGCTAGGTGAGGGCGGCGGGGCCGCGACGTGAGGGCGGCGGGGCCGCGACATAAGGGCGGCGGGGCCGCGACGTAAGGGCGGCGGGGCTGCGTAGGTAAGGGCGGCGGAGCCGCGAAGGTGAGGGCGGCGAGGCCGCGAAGGTGCGGCGACGGGGCCGCGACGTGAGGGCGGCGGGGCCGCGACGTAAGGGCGGCGAGGCCGCAACGTGAGGGCGGCGGGGCCGCGACGTGAGGGCTGCGGGGCCGCGACGTGAGGGCGGCGGGGCCGCGACGTGAGGGCGGCGGGGCCGCGACGTGAGGGCGGCAGGGCCGCGAGGTGAGGGCGGCGGGGCCGCGACGTGAGGGCGGCGGGGCCGCGACGTGAGGGCGGCGGGGCCGCGACGTAAGGGCGGCGGGGCCGCGACGGAAGGGCGGCGGGGCCGCGTAGGTAAGGGCGGCGGGGCCGCGGAGGTAAGGGCGGCGGGGCCGCGTAGGTAAGGGCGGCGTAACGGGCCGCTAGGGGCGACACGGAGGGTCGCGAAAAAAAAAAAAGGAACGCGCGCCTCGGGGCGCGCTTCAGTGGGCCCTGGGAACAGTCCCTAGGAGGGGACCTGCTCTGATTCCATGTGAAGAAGTGAACGTGAAAATGAATGAACTATGAATGAAGTGGGTACAAGTACTAACCCTAATTGGGTTGTACCCCCTATGGGATACCCCACTATAGCCTACACAAAAGCATAAGCTATAATGTTCTGACAACTTCGTGATCCACCCCGAGCTTGCTTTGCTTTTTCTTGACTGGTCATGTGTGTCAGAATCCCAACCACTAGACCATTGGGATAAAAGGGCTTGTTTCAGTAGCGGGTCAGTGCGCCCATAACCCCCGAGGCGAACACGCCTGTAACCCTCTCCATTCTATGATACTGTGTACAGAGGAGGATGCGTGTCTCAATGCTCCGACAGCTCACATGCTTGGGAATCATCAACGCTCACAAGCTGCCTTCACTCCCTTATTCAATCGGATCTCTATCCAGACTATGCAAGTTGAGCTTGTCAATCTGCCCAGATCTTTCAAATCTTCCTGCTTCTCTCACTTGGTTAGGTTGATGCGTTCTGTCTGCTCATGGATGCAGCTGCTTGCCTTCTCATGATTCGCAGAAAACAAAATGTTCCTTATAGTATGCAAATAGCACAGAACAGCACATGCAAGAGATTTCTGTGGAAGGAATGTGATTTAGGAACAACGTATGCCCTCTCGGGAAGCATGAACCCTAAAAACCATACGACAAGGTTTTTAGGGCTGTTACGTCCCGAAAATATCCCATCCGAAGAGGTTTTAGATCTATATCTAAAAATGATATTTTTGGAACATTATTCTATGGACAAAATGTGCGAGAGAGCGAAATTTCCCAAATTTCATACAATGACTCAAGTGGTTTCTTTTTTTAAATGGGCGTTTCATCTGTAAATGTGATAGTGTTGCGGGTCTTGGTGTGACTATCCGTGATAGTGGTGTGATCATCTGCGATAGATAACCCACATACTGTGACCGTTTGCATTAGCCAAGTGACCATCCATGATAAACCGGCCATAATTGTGACCAGCCATATAATTTCCCGATCATCCCATTTTCACCCCCCCTTCCGCTTTGCGCCTTTTGCGTTCAAACGCATTCCCAGCTCTCCGCAATCGGAACATCCGGGGACTAGCGAAATTGGTCAAACACAGAGGGTTACACGGGTCGTAAAGTGTCGTGATCTGTTTTCTCGCTGCTCGTCGGGCGAAAAGCAGAATCGTTAGAGTTAATTTTTTTCGCTTCTCTTGGCACATGTGACGCGTCCCCCCGCCATCCATCCACTGCGCCCTTCGCCACGCTTCCACCCTTCACGATCCATCCGCCCCCTTGTCCATTCCTCCCATTGCCTTCATCGCGTTCCAATCCAACCATCGACCTCCGTGAAGCCCGCTCTGCCCATCGACCTCCCTCCATCGACCTCCCTCCATCGCGCTCCTGCTTGAGCGCACCATTCGGGCATGGCCCGAGCGAATGCACGCCACTGGGCCTTGGCGCCGTCGACGGTCGCTACTGAAGCGCGTGCGCTGCTGCGCCACCTCGTCGGCCCCTGCCTCTTCCGCCGCGAATCCCCGATGCATTATTGCGGACACCCCGCCACGCTCTGTGCCGAGCTCGCTCGCTCTCTCTCAACACATAAATCGCCTCCCCTTCCGAAGCTCTCACAATCGCCGCACTTCTTCTCGTTCCCCGTCACCACCTTGCCTCTCGTGCATCTCGCATCATCTCGTTCCTCCCGCCGGCCGAACCTCGCTCATTCCACCAGCGATCGTCGCCAGCCCTACAGCATTTTGTCGCGAAGGTTTGACTTTCCGCGCGACTCGAATTTCGAGGTTGAAGCCTTTCGCCGCCTTCCGTCGTGATGGACCGCTGCGGGCGGCCGTCTGCCGCTGGGCTCGTCGCACTCGTCGCCGGGCTCGCTGCGATCAGCCTTCTCGCGAACCCAGGCCAGCGCAGGTGAACGCCGTGCTCCTATCGCCACTCCCAGTGGGTGTTCATTCTTGCTCACCCAACCGCCTTGCTTCTTACCCTCCTGCAGCTCGCGGTCGTGGGTGGTCGTTGCAAGAAGCTGCTTCACCCAGATTCCAATGGGTGACTGCTGACAGCCACTGGCACCCCATGCTTCCACGAGGAACTAGTCGACCAAGCCTCACGCTCGGAACTCATTTATTCAAGGGCTCGACATGCGCGCTACTAAACTACTCCCCATACGAGCACGCTGCCTAAACACCACAAATAGTTCTCTCCATTTCCCCCCCCTCCCCCTCGTGCCAGCCCCTCTTCCTTTGAGTTTCATCAGGAGTGTGGTGAGCGATGGAGGGTGGATGGTGTCAGAGGGGAGGTGGGCGTGAGAGCAGTGCAGGGGTGTACAGTATCAAGCAAGAAGCTTACCTCTTCCAATTCCCTTTCCCCTGTGTCACCTGGAAACCGCCACGCATCCACGCAGACGCGTGTGCCACGGTGGACTGCGGGTTAGACGCGTACTGCTCTGCGGCCGATGATGGCTCCACGGAGTGCCTGTGCGGCGTCATTGGCTATGCCTTCAACGAGGCGACCAAGACATGCATTGGTGAGTGGTGCGAGTGCGGGTGAGTGAGTGAGTGCGCATTGACCTGTGCTCTCACTGACCTGTGCTCTACCTGTGCTCTCAGGTAGTCACAAGGAAAGAGACCGTCACCTGTCCAAAGTTTACATTCACCTGCCCAGACTTTACGGTCAGCTGCCTCCACTCAGTGAGCCTGTCTATGCTCCTTGCCTTCTCCCCTCCCCTCGCCTCCGCCCCTCTCCCACCCGCCTGCCCAGTGCAGACCCGTGCCCATCAGTGCAGTGTCCGGAGAAGGCGGAGTGCGTGGCAAGAGGGGGAAAGGGGGAGTGCGAGTGCGAGCTGGGGTACATCATGCAGAACGGCGCCTGCACTGGTGAGCTGCTCTGATTTTAGGCAAACACATCCTGTCACATTTGACGTTTCAACAGTTGTAATCCCTGGGAGGTAGCCTTGACACCTCATCTTCCGCCTCTCATCTTTCCCTCCCCTCAACAAACCCCCTCCCTTTCTCACCCCCCCCACTTACCTCTCCATCCCGCTCCCGGTCTCCCTTGTGCTGCAACAACTCGACGGCGTTGTACCCCCATTATCCCCGCAACAACGTGCAACGCCCATGACGCGTGCTCGCAGACGGCTTGCTGCAGACGGGGGTGGAGGTGGAGGGCCTCAACTATCTCTCGCTGCTCACCTTTGAGAGCCCCGTGCCCATGGCGCAAGCCACTGGCGCCACCGCCTGCACCAACGTCAGCGACCCGGGCGGCAGCAACACCAGGATCACCGTGGAGTGGACGTCGATTGGAGTGTACACGGTTGGCAACGGCATGTGCAAGAGCGTCTCGTTTCACGCTGACCCGGTCTGTGCCGACAAGCCCGGTTTGACCATCGCTCGCCCGGGTTTGACCAAGGTCGGCGGCTTCTTCCCCGTCACAACAAGGTGAGCGAGTGTGGTGTGCAACGGGCAGTGTGGTTTCCTCTGCTGTGCTTCGAGTGTTTCAAAGGGAGCATTCCTGTGTGATCGCCACAACTGACTTCTTCTTTTGTCAACCGTGTGCTTGTCGGTGGTGTGCCCTGCCATTACCTTCCCACTCTCAGGACTGTGAAAGCAGCCCCGCCGCAATCAGTGAGCTGCGAAATCAGTAAGTGGGAGGGCAGAAACTTGTTCTGCGAAATCAGTAAGTGGGAGGGAAGAAACTTGTTCTGCGAAATCAGTAAGTGGGAGGGCAGAAACTTGTTCTGCGAAATCAGCATGTGCAGGCCACATGCGCATAGCCCCAGGAGCACTTTTTTTCCGTCATTCTGAGTGCCAGAAGTGCTAAGTGCCAAGGAGGTTCAAGCACCTTCACCTCTGTGTTGGATGAGCCAGCTGGACACACAAGCACAGCTCTATGCACTTAATTGATTCTTCACCGCCCTGCACCATGCCATGCCTTGCTGACCCCTTTGAGATGCCTCAAACCATGCCATGCTTTGCTGACCCCTTTCACCCCTTCCTCTACATGCCTGGCCGGTGTGCCCCACTGTGCCACCAACAACAGCCACGTGTCACAAGGACTGCGGCAGTGCAGAGTGCGTGGTGAAGGGGGGCGTGTCCCAGTGCAAGTGCCCCTGGAGTTTTGTGTTCGACAATGCTCTGAAGCGCTGCACCAACAAGTCTCCCAGCAGCACGGGTACATGTCTCTCCCTCTCTCTCTCGCCACTGGCCCATTCCTCTTTCTGTTCTCCTCTTGCTTGTATTAAGCGACAAAAGCAACCCCATCAGCCGTTCCTGTTCTGTGTGCATGCAGAAAGATCGGCTGCCTTGGTCGGCCGGAAACTCCCTTGTTCAGGCTGATCCTTCTCAGAAAAAGGGGGAAAAAAAAAAAAACAACAACAAAAACAAACGAGTCTCACCTCTTTCTTCCACCACCTATGGCAGACACAGACCCTAGCGAAGGTGCAGACCTATGTGAGTCAGTCAAGTGCGCGAGGAACTCCCAGTGCGTGGTGAGGAACGGACAGCCCATGTGCGAGTGTCACGCCGGCTACACCAAGGTCAACAAGGGCCTCTGCACTGGTGAGATCAACCAGGGCTCTAGACGCAGCACATGAAATCACACTCCTTCGTGTCAACCCAGCTTGAGTGTGTGTGGTATTCTTGTGGCGTCCTCTTTGGCCCCACCTGGTCGTTCCTTCCTCCTCCCCATCTGCTGCCCCACTCAAGCTCACGTTGTTTTTCCTCTCCTCCACGCACCAACTCGCACCCACACCAGCCATCTGCAAGCCTGACTGCCCTGCAAATGGCCAGTGCATGGTGGTGGGAGGAAAGCCCGTGTGTCGGTGCAAAGCGGGTTTCCGACAGGACAAGAGCACGTGCACACGTAAGGCCGGAAGTGCGAGGGGGAGAGAACCCCTGTCATATCTCACTCGTTTTCCAACCTCTCCTGTACTCGCTCTCTTTCATGCAACCATGCCGTATTCCATCTCTTCGCCTCTCATCCTTCAACCTTCCCATCTCATCTCTCACACCCACCCGTCCCACTTGACAGCCGTGTGCAAGCCTGCCTGCCGTGCCAATGCCCAGTGCATGGCGGTGAAAGGAAAGCCAGTGTGTCAGTGCAACACAGGGTTCAGATCCGTCAACAACAAGTGCACACGTAAGAGCGAGGGGGAGAAATATGCGTTCTTCGTGTTTTTGTCACCAGCCACCTGCACCCGTGAAGGATGCTTGTGCCAATGAAGGTTTTGCCATCTGTGCGTGCTCTATGCAGTCCCTCAGCTCTTCCCCTCTCATCCTCCATTCCCTGTATCTCTCACACCCACCCCACCCATTTGACAGCTGTGTGCAAGCCTAGCTGCGGTGCTAATTCCCAGTGCGTGGCGGTGAGAGGAAAGCCAATGTGTCAGTGCAACACGGGGTTCAAGCCGGTCAACAACAAGTGCACACGTAAGAGCACAGAAGATAATTTTGCTCTTTTTTGTCTCGTTCTCTTGCAAGCCTGTGGATTTCCAGTGAAGATCTTTCTCTTTCCTCCCTACCGCAACCTCCCACTCACACTGATAAACAATCTTTGTGTCACAACATTCGTGCTGTTTATTCTCGCTGCGTTGTTGTCCCTTCATCTCGTCCTTGTTTTCATTCTTCCCATCTCTCGCACCCACCCCACCCAATTTACAGCCGTGTGCAAGCCTGCGTGCGGTGCTAATTCCCAGTGCATGGCGGTGAGAGGAAAGCCAATGTGTCAGTGCAGCTCAGGGTTCCAGCTCGTCAACAGCAAGTGCACACGTACGAGCGAGGGACGAAAGAGTGTGCTCTATTTTAGGTTTCGTTCTCTTCCATGCATGCACAGCTCAGCATGCATAGCCCAGCATGCACAGCTCAGCATGCACAGCCCAGCATGCACAGCCCAGCATGCACAGCCCAGCATGCACAGCCCAGCATGCACAGCCCAGCATGCACAGCCCAGCATGCACAGCTCAGCATGCACAGCTCAGCATGCACAGCTCAGCATGCACAGCTCAGCATGCACAGCTCAGCATGCACAGCTCAGCATGCACAGCTCAGCATGCACAGCTCCAATAATCCTCATGCGCTTCTCCCCTCTATTACAACATTATGACTTACTCCTCTACCTCCCTTCTGTGTTCTCTTTCGTTCCATGATCTACATCTTCCATCTCCATTGAGTCTCATCCTGCTGCTGTCTTCCCACCCATCCACCCACCCACTCAGCGAAATGAGTTTTTTCCTCTTGAAGGTGATTGAAGGCTTTAGCATGTACTTCGAAGGGGCAGTGTCACTTAATAACGGAGAAGAGGTGCGAGCAACTGCATGCGGTTGCTCCGAGGGCAGGAATCAAACTTATGTGACTGTGCTGCTGAGTTATTATGTGTGTTGTATAATGTTGCTGTGTTCTTCGCTTCTTTCTTTCCATATTACCGTACATCTCTCTGTTTCTAATTCTTCAAGTCTCAAAACCAGTACTGCAAAAACGAGAAGGCAAAAGAGGAACCCGCGACCCAACTTGAAATCGCCCATGCTCGCTTCGCTTGGCCTTCAGTGCAAGTGCTTTTGGAGGGCAATACAGGAAAGTCACTGTTTGGTCTGAGATGCTGAAAGCGCAGAAACAAGAACGTGCCTGAACATGATTGGCTTGCGACTTAGGTGGTCAGAACCCATATTTCCAAGTGGTTGCATCAACTGACAAGTGTCGCTTGTAACCCCGTTGTTCACAACGCGGGGATACGGTAGGTGGAGAGGGCAGGAAAAGGAGAGGTGAACACCACAGCGCCCTGCCATGATGCACTGGACGAGATGGAGAGGGTGGTGTGTGGGTTCAGGGGTAGGGGGAGAAAAGGAGGAAAGTGAAGGAGTGAGGGAATGAATCTCTTGGCTTCTGGTTTGTAGCCTGTGCCTCATGCAAGCAAGGCAGGTGGGCACATGCAGGGGCAGGGCAGGCAGTGACCTGCCAAGTTGTTTAGCAACAACCATTGCAGTGAGTGCCAGAGCCCGTGCAAGGGCATGGCGGGGGATAATGGGGTGATAAGATGATGATGTGATGGGGAAATGGTTTGATGGTGCGATGGAATGACGGAGTAATGAGGTAACGCGATGGTGGGGTGAAAGGATGATAGGGTGATGGGTTGATGGAATGATGGTACCATGCGGTGAACAGAGTGCCAATGGCAGTGGTGTTGATACAGTAGACAAACCAGAGCACAAAGCTGATTTGGTAGAAGCAGGTTCCACACAAGGTGACAGGACGCGGCAGACATCAGCGACCATATCAACGTGAGCAGACTGGACGCGCCACCCCGATGGCAGGGCAGCTGGCCTGTGCACCGCCCTACAGCCCCACGTCGGTGATCTGCGCGTACAGCAATGCGTGCTGGCCACCGGATCCCACTACCTCCTTGGAAGAGGGTTTGGGAAGAGGGTTGGGGAAGAAGGGGGGGGGGGGGGGGGGGGGGGGGGGGGGGGGAGGAAGAGGTGCAGTGAACCAGGGTGGGAGAGAGGGATGGGCGAGAGGGTTCTGGTGAAGGGTCAGGGGGGGGGGGAGCGTTGGGGGAGAGGGGTGCAAAGAATTAGGGCCGTTGTGGCTTTTGAAAATAACCAATCTTTGGTTCTATACCTCACCCTTCCTGTCCGAGCCTTTGCTGTTTACAGCCCACATCGCCCTCTAACCCCCCAATCTCCTCTTTAGCCTTCCATATCCCCCTTATCCCGTCGTCCCCCTCCCCCCTCACCCTTAGGCGCAGCCACTCGCGCAATCACCTCCTCCAATCCCATCACCCCTTCACAGAAATCAAGTGGCTGAAAACCTCTCATGAAGTGTGTTTGATGTGTTTTTGCAGATGATTTGAAGATGTAGGGGTCGGTTCTTTTTAAGAAGAAAGTATCAAACTTTTTCCAGATGATCTGTCAGATGCTTTGTAGATGATTGGAGTGCTTTTAAACAGTTTTGAAATGGTTGTGAGGAACTTCCCATTGTGTTTGGGATAACTCGTTTAAAGCCAGCAGCTAAAATAGTGACCCCCCCCCCCCCCCCTTCTAGTTGGGTCCAATTGAAAACAGAAGTTTTTTTGGAACGCTTCGTAAAGCTGGAAGTGCTGTGCTTTTATAAAAATTTCACTAGAGATGAGTCTCGGTGTGAACAAGAACATTTGGAACATGTGTACAATTCTGATTGGAAGCGAAACTCACACACAACTCACACATGTATGCGATTTTGGCGCAAGGCTGCAATGCCTGCTCAAGGTGCATCATGTTTTGATGTGAGAGACCTGGCGCTGAGCTAGAAGATTAGAGGGGGGTGTCAGGGAGGGTGAAGGCACGGTCCAGAAAGGCTGGAAAGAAGGCCGTTGCTGAGGTCGAATCTTCTGATGGAGAAGTTAGTTCTGAGGAGGAATTAGGGAGTTCCTCCGAGAGCGAGGAGAAGTATGATGAGGAGGAGAACGAAAGTGATGACGCTGAAACTGGGTCCACGAGTGATGACCACGGTAGGAGAGGGGGGAGGGCACGAGGAGCGCGCAACCACCGCTATAGCAGAAAGCGTGGTCATGCAACTGGTGGTAAGGCCGGTAATGGACGTAAACAGCAGAGACGTAGAGAGTGTGCTCAAGGAAAGCGAGCAGATACTGAGGGTTACAACCGGGGGTGTCTTAAGGAGCATCCTGTTGTGAGACAGGACCTTGGCTTCTACAATGAGATGAGGACCATGGAGAACTCGGATGATGCTGGTCCGTCGAATCGTCGGGAGAATGTTCGGATGAAACGGGCAGCAACCAACAATCCGTATTCTGCCCTTGCTTCTACCTCAGGATCGGGAAAGAGAGCATCTAGATTTCAAGATCGGAGCGTGCGTAAGAATGCTGCCCAGCAGCATGACAGTACGCTCAATAAAGCCGGCGGTAGTGACGATCAGGCCTGTGGTGGGGTCTGGGGCCGGAAGATGGTGAGACGGGTGGTGTTGGAGATTGGTTCAATGATGGAAGGAAAGCTGGACGCTCAGACCCATCAAATCCACCCCCGTTCGTGTCGGCAAGAGGCAATTTCCCGCTCGACGGTAGCGGAGTGCCCATCGTTCCCTCAAGCATTTCTCCAAATGAATCCATGCAACAACTCTTCCAGGCATTGCAAGAAGCTAATCGGCAAATTGCCGAGCTAAAGGCCGGTCGCGGACCTTTGGTGGACCGGGGAGGAAACAGGACGCAAGTCCCACCGCTTACCTCAGTCTCTAGTGAACAACCCGAGCCGCTTGAAACGCCGGGCGTTGTGGCGGAGAGCGCTGCACGAGGGACTCCCATCACCAGGAGGCATGGGATGCCAAACGCGACTAATTTGAAGGTAATTGCCACCCATCTCCCCCACAGATTGCTAAACCCTTCTCTCTGGTTTCATTCTCTGAAGCGATTCATTCTCATTCCCATTATATGGTTTCATTCTCTATAGTGATTCGTTCTCATTCCCACCCGCTCGTTTCTCTGCAGTGACATCTCATTTGCACTCTCTGTTTTACCCCACATCCCCATTCTCTGGTTTACCCCACATTCCCGCTCTAATGTTAACCCCTCATTGTCATCCGCTGGCTTATCCCTCTTTGTCATTCTCTGGTTCAACCCTTCTCATTCTATGGTTTTCCCCTCATTCTCATTATTTGATTACCCATGATTCTCATTCTCAGCATCCATTCCGTGCAATTACTATTTCTCATTCGGAGTCTTCGGTTTTCCGTGTGTTCTCATGATCTGGTGTCAGTCTATGTAATAATCATCCTAAACCCTTCTCGTTCTCATGGTTTCCAATCCCATTCTCTAGTCCAACCGTGGCAATGGCTCATCCTCTAGTTTCCTCTGGTTTTTCATATCAGCCATCAAAATGTGCAATTTCAAGGTCATTGTTGTTTCCCTTTCTGTAGGTTCTCACTTTATCTCACACTGAACAGCTGTACATGGATGAAGCTAAGACGCGCATGTGTATGGAATCTGAGGACCACCTTATCACGCTCTACCCAAGCTTTGAGAAGCGAATTCTTGTTTTGCGTGAAGTCATCTCTGAGCACTACGTGGTTCCCTTGATATTGCCGAGGGAAGCCATGGAGGAAAAAACACGGAGGGATGCATTCAAGCGCGTGTATACTCAGTGGAAGAACAAACGTGCGTTTTACGTCAAACGGACTGTGCTTGAGGGGTTGGGGGCTCCCATGAGTGCCTTGCGGGCAGCGGAAATCCACATCGACACCGAGCTCAAGGAGGATCTCTGGGGGAAGTATGGCCCGAGTGAGTAAACATATGCCTAATCTTTTCCCCCACCCTCCCTTCCCCCCCCCCCCCCCCCCCCCCCCCCCCCCCCCCCCCCCCCCCCCCCCCTCTTTCACCATCTCAACCTTAGCACCCGTTTCTTACAACACCCCATATTCCGTACTCCATAGCTTGGCGTTCTCTTCACATAGACCATTGTAGAACCTGTGATTCTCCAGCCCATCCACCCTCGTCCCTTTTCACACCCCACCCCTTGAACCACCTTTGTTCAAGCGTGTTGCAAGTGCGGACGCCCAACTGAGCACCTATAGAAATGCTGACAATAGTGATCTCCCGTTCGGCAACAAGATCTTCTTCAACGCAGCAATGGACGCCTTCGGTGAATTTGCCGTGGGGAACGACATATGCTTGAAGGCGGATCACATCGCCTGGACTATCTTGGTGGTGAGTGGCTTGTGAGGGTCCATTTACTTGTTTCTCATCCAACATTTTATCCATGGTAAACCTGTGCCATCCAGTGTAAACCTTAACCCCTTGTGTTTCCACCTTCCCCTCAGGTGCTTCTTTAAACCTTAGTATCCACCTACCCTTTGGAGTTGGGCCCACTTTGGATTCACGCTTTCACGCACGGGCTTACATTGTTAACCTTTTTCCCCTGTCCCCTCACGCCCGTGCGGTACCCATCAGTCTCCTTCCCCTCAGGTGTTTCCATACACTCTTTAGTTCCCTCTTCCCTTCAGAAGCTGCCCCACTCCTCTATTACCTTTCATGCTAACTCTCTGCCACTATGGCGTACCTCCCTGCATGTTGTGATTGCCCCACAAGATTCTGACCTCTCACTCTTCCTTATCACGCTTTAATTTGTCCATGTTCCTCTATTTTGACAATGCAGATCGACTATGGCTTGTCGAAGGTGAAGAAGTCGACGATGAACCTCACAAACTCCCACTGAAAAAACACGCAGTGGGTGGCAAGCATCTGCAGGGCGGATAAGCGGGCGGTGACAGATCATTTCAGCCAGGTGAACCCTGTCTACGACCCACGGATGAAGGGGTGGGGGAATTTTGGCTTGTTCGACCATGAGTCGGGGTTCGAGGATTATCGGCCAAGACCACAGCCACGCAATCCTACAAGGAGGGTGGCGGCAGTACTCGTTTAGAGGAGATGAATTGTGGGATTGTAGTGCGCCGTGCTTGGAGTAAGAGCAGATGTGGGGACAGAGTAACATCAAGTGGGTAAGTCAAGAGTAATGGCATGGGAGAGGAGCAGAGGAGTAACAGCATGAAGGGGAGCAGAGGAGTAACAGCATGGACATGCATGGGATGCACGGGGAACCACAGCAGGGAAGGGAAGGGAGGAACCACAGCAGGGAGGGGAGGAGGGGAACCACAGCAGGGAAGGGAGGAGAGGAACCACAGCAGGAAGGGGAGCAGGGGAACCACAGCAGCGAAGGGAAGAGAGGAACCACAGCAGGGAGGGGAGCAGGGGAACCACAGCAGGGAGGGGAGGAGAGGAACCACAGCAGGGAGGGGAGCAGGGAAACCACAGCAGAGAAGGGAGGAGAGGAACCACAGCAGGGAGGGGAGGAGGGGAACCACAGCAGGGAAGGGAGGAGAGGAACCACAGCAGGGAGGGGAGCAGGGAAACCACAGCAGGGAAGGGAGGAGAGGAACCACAGCAGGGAGGGGAGCAGGGGAATCACAGCAGGGAAGGAGAGAAGGGAACCACAGCAGGGAGGGGAGCAGGGGAATTACAGCAGGGAAGGGAGGAGAGGAACCACAGCAGGGAGGGGAGCAGGGAAACCACAGCAGGGAAGGGAGGAGAGGAACCACAGCAGGGAGGGGAGGAGAGGAACCATGGCAGGGAGGGGAGCAGGGGAACCACAGCAGGGAAGGGAGGAGAGGAACCACAGCAAGGAGGGGAGCAGGGAAACCACAGCAGAGAAGGGAGGAGAGGAACCACAACAGGGAGGGGAGCAGGGGAACCACAGCAGGGAAGGGAGGAGAGGAACCGCAGCAGGGAGGGGAGCAGGGGAACCACAGTAGGGAGGGGAGCAGGGGAACCACAGCAGGGAGGGGAGCAGGGGAATTACAGCAGGGAAGGGAGGAGAGGAACCACAGCAGGGAGGGGAGCAGGGGAACCACAGCAGGGAAGGGAGGAGAGGAACCGCAGCAGGGAGGGGAGCAGGGGAACCACAGCGGGAGGGGAGCAGGGGAACCACAGCAGGGAGGGGAGCAGGGGAATTACAGCAGGGAAGGGAGGAGAGGAACCACAGCAGGGAGGGGAGCAGGGGAACCACAGCAGGGAAGGGAGGAGAGGAACCACAGCAGGGAGGGGAGCAGGGGAACCGCAGCAGGGAAGGGAGGAGAGGTGCGCCGGAGTAACAGCAGGGAGGGGAGCACAGTAGTAAGAGCGTGTTCCTACGGCCTCATATCAGGAAACCTCGTATCAAGAATGATGTTTTTGCCTGGTAAAACTAGCGAGAGGTTTTGGGTTTCGGGGAATTTTCAGTGTGAGCCTGATACAAGGTTATCTTGATACGAGGATAGGAACACGCTCTAACAACATGAGGGGGAAGCAAAGGATTGACACCAAGGGGGGCTAAGAAATAATAGCACAGCAGGGAGGATGGAGCAGGGAGTAGCACCGCAGGGAGGATGCAGCCTAGTACGGACCTAGGGTTGATAGTGGGTACTAGTAGCGCAGGTGTCATTAACCGGGGATGATTAACAGAGTAGCTAAGAACCAGAGAATAAGTAGGCATCTAATGTGTTGTAAGCCTTTTCAAGCAAAAATTATGATTTACACGCACATGCCCTCCCTCTTTCGGAGTATTTATGGAAAGTGCTAAACAAACTACCAACAGGATCTTCCAAACTCTAATTATGTTTTTTTTTAATGTTGCATATTCAGTTTCCAAGATTATTAATGCATATAAAAGCATATAGCAAACCTTATCCAAGTCTAAAATTGAAAGACAAAATTAAACCAAATATCATTTAAAACGAGAGTATAAAATAGTGAAGGAAGACCCAACTCGAAATCGCTGCGAATAGTTCGGGTGATACAACACTGTTCCAAACAAACCGTGTTGGCAGGTTGAACTCATCTGATTGGCTCAAACCAATCTGAAAATTGCCCCTCCCACCAAAACGATTTTCGAGGCCCAAGTTAGCCGTCGCATTTTTGCACGCTGCTCCCCGCACGACCGTTGCCATGCGATCGTTTCCATCGATAGGCCCAACTTCCACTTCAAGTTGGAACTGGGTGAATGACTAGCCATCTTCCAGTCTTGAAGACACTAGTGTTTTGCGTAGCATACGGTAGTAGAAAAGCTAATAGAGCCTAGATGTTTCTGGCCGAGGCACAAAGTATTGACTTAGCTCGCATGCGTAATGTAATAAACGATTATTTTTCTAGTAAACATTTTTCCAGTCGTCGCGCTCTCGGTATATCGCCCTCTAGTCGCTCTACATTTTTCCCGGTCGCCTTCCTCTCTCGCGCTTCGCCTATCCCTCTCCTGCCGCCTTCCTTTCGCCCGTCGCCCTCCTCTCTCCCGTCGCCCTCCTCTCTCCCGTCGCCCTCCTCTCTCCCGTCGCTTATCCTATCTCCCGCCGCCTTCGCTCTCCCATCGCCTTCCGCGCTCTCTCTCCCGTCGCCTTCCACGCTCTCTTTCTCGTCGCCTTCGCGCTCTCACTCCCGTCGCCTTCGCGCTCTCACTCCGGTCGCCTCCGCGCTCTCTTTCGCGTTTCCTCCGCACTCTCTCTCCCGTCGCCTCCGCGCTCTCTCCCTTCCCCGCCCGTCTTTCTTCCTCTATCCGCTCCCCTCTTGTCGTTTTCCCTCTCACTCCTCCCCTCCCGACGTTTTTCCTCTCTCCCCTAAGAGTCCCATATCGTCGCTGACATCGCTTTCAAAGCCTATTATCTAGCCTTCGCCCTGTCTCTCTACCCTTCCCCCCCCGTCTCCCTTGCTCTCTCCCCTCCCTCTCGTCGCCTTCGCAGTTTCCACTTCCCTTCCCCCTCGTCACCCTCTCTCTAAACCCTCCCTTCCTATCGACCTCCTTTTCTCCCCTCCCCTCCCGTCACCCTCGATGCAGTCGTCGTCTTGGCGCTCTCCCTATTGTCGCATGTCTCCTCTCCCTTCCATCGCATGCGCGCTCTCCCTCTTGTCCCCTTCGTCCTCTCTCTCCCGACGCCAACGCGCTCTCCCTGTTGTTGCCTTCGCCTTCTCCCACCCGTCGCCTTCGCGCTCTCACGTCCCGTCGCCTGCGCGCTCTCCCGCGCGTCGGCATTGCGCTCACGTTCCTCCTCTCCCCTCCCATCTCGTCGTTTGCCTCCTCCCCCCCCCAACCCGCCGTTCTTCTCTCTCTCTCTCTCCATCTCAATCGTACTATCCTTTCGTGATACCTTGTCCAACTTATTTTTTCCCCTCGTTCTTCGACTCACTATTTTATAACCTCTTTCAGCCATTCAAATACAGGCCCACCTCCACTCTCATCCGCCTTTTCTCGCAGATCTGACAGGTCATCGGCCCACCTCCACTCTCATCTCCTGCATGTGTGTGTGCGCTGGATTTTGCCTGGTGGTTGATTGATGTGATGTTTTGAAGTTACGATCACTGCTCAAGGTGCATACATACTCCCACCCTCCTCATGCCCTCGAACATTGTGTGCATCGGCCGCACGAACACCTGCTGGAGTAGAGGGAGAAGACGCATCATGCTTTATATCACACTCTCCCTCACGCTTCACCCCACGCTCTCCCGCATGCTTCACATCACGCCCTCCCTCACGCTCTCCCTCACGCTGCGCATCACGCTCTCCCTCGTGCCTGCACTCCTGCCTGCCCTCCTGCCTGCCCTCAAGCTCTCTCTCACGCCTGCCCTCACGCTCTCCCTCACGCTCGTCCACACGCTTATGCCCTTTCTCCTTGTCGTCTACATCTTCTGCACGTCATGTAGCACCAGTCGCGTCTTGTTGTCCTTTTCTCTTATTCTTGGTGATGTTACTTACAACATGCATAAAGTAAGGACGATATGCTTAGACAATACGAGGGCAGCACCTCTCTGGATTTTTCGCCAACACAGCCAGGCTATTAACAAGCAGTAAGACATACAATCACGAAGAAGAGATATAAAAGCCTGATGAGTACCTTTCTTCCCTGTAGCAGGTTTGCACTGGTCCAACGGCTTCAGCTTCCGTCCGCCCCTCCGCCTGCGTGAACCGCCACGACTACCACTGCCATCGTATGCCTCTTCCTCAGATTGCTTACTATCCGATGAAGATGCCCCTTCCGATTCCACCTGGATGTCGTGTGCAGGAAGCGTGTTCTTCGGACGATACCTCACAACTAGCTGGGAGGTGTCGTGAGGCGTCATCTTGTCATGCAGCTTCTGTTCCGCATCAGTTCTTGCGTCGCCCAATGGTTGTAAAGCTCCAGCACTACCGAGGACATCACAAAACAAACCCTATTGATTTGGTCCTAGCTGACCAATTTTGGTCCAAATTTGGTCCGAGCTGTTGGACCAATTTTGGCCTAGTTGGAAGGTTGAAATTTGGCCAAATCCAGGGTTGAAATTTGGCCAAATTAAGGGCTGAAATTGGCCAAAATCAAGATCCAATTTTGGTATCAAAATGTACCAAGTAGGGAATTGGATTTGTCCTAGACCTGACCTAATTTTTTACCATTCTGGTTAACCTGTGGTGCAATGATTCACTTCTTTCAACATATAGCTTGTTAGTATGGTTTTCACAGATCAATACTATGATGGTTAATTTTTATTGATAAATTACATTACAAATCTAAACAATACATCACAAAAAACCTAGGTTTTTGAAGGGGTTTCGAAGGGGTGTACATTTCAGGTGTTTTAGTTGGAGAAGCTTCGAAACGAAATCGCGACCAATCACGGACCGAAATCGGACCGCGTTTGTTTGTTGGAGTTGAAAATCAATTTCGGGATGTAGTACATTGTCGGTTTTTTGCGGGTTGCCAAAATAATTGTCATTTTGGAACAAATTTAGTTAGCTATGACTTCAATTAAGCTTGACAATGCATCAATAAGATGGCCATTTTATTACAAAATAAATGTATTACATATGATACTTATTTAGGAGATAGGTACTGTCCATATGGAACGCCTTTATCACATGGACGTGGCGAAGCAGCGCTTCAAGCGGAATCACGGAGGACGCATACACTCCAGTCGTCCACTTGAGGCGAGTGCATCCAGTTGCAGCATCCTCCCCGCACGCATTCCAATATCTAATGTAAGCCAACTCCTCCCCCTCTCCACGGATTTTTGTGTGGAACAGCAGCAGCAACATTGCATACCACTCCTCTCTCCGACCATACCTTACACACTCTACTACAACATCCGAGTACCACGGCCGCTCAAAATAGTCAGGCGTTGCCCGAACGAAGTGAGAAACCCTTGAGAAGCTGGCATCATCTGCCGCTGGGATGGCCAACGATGCATGAATAGGGGCGAGAAAAAAAAGATTGTATGATCCACGAAGTACTTACTCTGATCTTGGGGACGCATCCAGCATAACGTACTAGCACATCCTTGAGGGCAGCTTGTGCAACTGGGTGTTGCTTGGCCCACTTCCTTGAGAACCAGTTGGTGGAGGTGGGTTCTTCTGGTAACTCCATAGGGAGAAAGTAGGACTCTTTGATAAGAGTCCGTGTGCCTGTCTTAATGGCCTGCCAACAAACAGTAGCAAGTTTATTACATTATGCATGCATAGCATTGCAATTCAATCACTAGACATGTTTACCTGCCGCATGGCAGTGTTTCGGCTAGCGAGATCGTCCACTTGCACAACGTCCGGAATGCGCCTAGCATGGAAATTCATAATATGACCATCTACATTGCGCTTGTTGGACCGCCGGTAGATCCTCTTTACTAACGGTCCGTGCAAGTGCTCGAACATGTTGGTGATGAATTCCGAGACATGACCCGCCCGGCGAATGGAGTCAATGTAGTGCGACATGACATGGGTTTTCACAAGGCACCAAGAGGATGGCTGCTTTGGAAAAGCAGCTTGCAACTGCTCAACGAGCCTGAAGGGAGTGGGAGTTGACAGCATATGCAAGGACATCAGAGTCTACTACAGCATACTGCAGCCTAATGAAGATAGGTTACTGCGACAGCTTAGGTGCCGTGGCTAGGCATTCATGCAATGCTCAGGGCTGTACATGCATATTAATAGTACCGGGAGGTCTTCTTCTTGAGATCCCGCATGGACCGCTCGGTGTGCCCCGTTGGCTGGCAACACAAGAGGTACCAGCCAAGATAGGCACGAATAGCATCCATGAAGGGCTGGCGAAGCAGGCCAGCAAAGACAAACACCATGACCTGCAAATTTCAGGGTTTATCACAGCAGGGGGGCATGAGTAGTTAGGACATGCGTGAGAAGGTGAGCAAACAGTATTCGAGGCGGAATTAATCAAAGCAGGAGAGAGGGTACTGAGATGCAGTAGGGGGTGTGTTGTAGTCTGGAATTACCATGCCACTACTGCATGGTGCATGATATCGCACAAGATGATCACATGCACCATGGCTTGCACACCTGCATGACGGCCCTGTGCTCATAGGCCGCGACACATGCTCGAGTCTCGAAGTAGGCGCTCTCTGGCAGGCGGAGGTGGTTCAGGCGCGTGCGGTCGCGAATGAGCGACAGGCGCCTGCGCATACACAACAGTTCAAGGGCAGGCACAAATACAGAAACATGTAAGTAGGAGGAGGAGAGTGCGGATTGGAGTGTTGTTGACAACGAGCAACAAATCTAATCCCCCAAGGCAGTGACCTGTCCATCTGCTTCACGCGTCGCTTCTTCATCTTGCGCACGACAGCCACAATGTGGCTCATCATGCCCAGGTCCGCCTGGTGCATGATGCCAGGCATGATAACGAGGTATGGATTGCCCCACACAATCCCTGGGACATCCCACTTCCAGAGCACACACTGGAAAAGGGGATGTGGTGGGGAATGGTAGAGAAAGGTATTTGAGAGACTCAGCACACAACATGTGGGACAGTGCAATGGGGTATAGCACATCTCCCCAAGGTTTGAGCAACACGGAGTGCGTAGACTACACAGTCGCCCGGGGAACAGGTCGCTCACCTCAACCGGGTAGGTCGAGTAGGTCTTGCATGGGTCGTCCTAGCTTGATGTCAACCCTGTCGCCTCATTCACGATCCATTGCTGCTGTTCAGGCGTGTGCGGCGTGTTCCGTGCCTTTACAGCAACCAGATGCTCTTGGTGTAGCACAGGGGTTGGGATGGGATGAACAGGTAAGGGAGGTGAGATTATGAGGTCCGTCATATGACATTCAGATGGCAATGGTTCTGAAGGCATGCAGATTGCATGCTTGCTCACCTTTGCAGCATAGCAGATGCTACACGGCATCCGCGATCCATGCGAGAGTGTGCAACTGATCTTGCCGCTCTCAAGGTAGTCGCACACCCAGGCGTACAGCAAGGGCCGCACGGTTTGCCAATCACCGAAAGGGTCCCTGAGACGGAACCCGCTGCAAGGAACAGGTATTGTGGCAACAGGAACAGGGATCTCGGCTTTGTGCATCGGCGAAGAGGGACAAGGGGGACTGTTACATACCGAAACGCTGGGCATACTATGGCGTTGATGGGTGACGACATAGCAAGACGGAAATAGAGTACGGACCTTTCCATTCCATTGAGAAGCGGCTGCAGCACGGTGATGACGCATCGCTGGAAGAGCATCACCTTCTCCACGGCAGACATTGCAGAAGGGGGGATAGGAGGGAGAGCAAGTAGCGTGTGCCCGGCTTTCCCCCATCGCTTGGCCTGGGAGATGTTTGCAAGCGTCATCATTAGCGGCCACGCCTTCTTCCGGCCGTTGTTGCTCATGTGCGTCACATCCGAGTCTAGGATGATACCCCCCACGACTTCGGACCATCCAAAGTGTTCCTGCAAAGCACGACAAAGAGAGAAAAGGCACACGGTCAAACACCAACAAGGCAACTTGTCGCCAGGCGGACTAAGCATGCTTCAAAGAACTCCCCACAAACATGACACACTGAAGATGCTCCCAACACATCAGCGCATTAACGGAGACATGCGCACTCTTCTGGTTTTGAGTGGCAATGGGGTATTTCCATACCTGAGCATCGTTCCACCACGTTCCAGTTTCTGGCGTGGTATAGCGACGCTCGCCTGTGTCAGGGTCCTCATCGATACGAGCCTTGAGCTTGAAGCCGGGCGCGTTGTTGGTATGCCCAAATAGTTCGGCAAACGCCTGGCGTACAGTGGCAAGAGCAGGAGAGAACCAAACCCTGGTTAGTGGCGTTGAAGGTGTGGCAGATCTCACACAAGCCTAACAGAGGCAACGTTCAACAAGCACCAAATGGATGCGGAATATGCATTTCACAGCCACGGATTTAGATTCAACTTACCTGCGTAGAATTCTGGAAGAGAAGGCGCTGTGGCGGATGACCGTCAATCTCGAAGGTCGCCACTGACCATCCGCGATTGAGCCCGACCAAGCGCTCCATCTCGAACCGCTCCAAATCCTTGCTGTTCGAGATCTCTGAGATCACGAGAGGCGCAAGGCCGGGCTCCACCACAAGCTGAAGCAGGCCATTGATGTCGATCTCCGCCATTCCCATTCCGCCATTTACGCGCCGCACGAAATGCAGCAGCTTCAACGCAAGCAGATTGAGGGGCGTGGCATTGCTCTGCCCAGAGATGCATGTTGGTGGTGCGGCGTGACTCTCTTCACGGCGGCTCTCCGGATGCTCACTCGTATCAGAGGCATGTGTTTCGGGAGGCGGTTGATGCTCACTTTCAGGAGCCCCCACGTTCACAGTCAAGGGTGTTGAGTCCCCGTCAGCTTCGGGCATGAGAGGAGGACCATTCACACCGTCGGTGTTGGACTGGTTAGATGCGGTAGGGGAAGCGGGTGCAGCGGGAGCATCTGACAGAATGTCGTGGACGAACAGCAGAGCATGTAGACTGGCGGACGGTGCAGACGAGAAGGGCCTTGCCACGGCGGAAAGCCCTTGACAAGGGGTCTGTCGTGACTTATGGTCGCCATAAACCTGAGCGTTGGGGAACCATCTGTTGCAAAACTCGCATACTATGCCTGGCAAAGAGCCCATATATTCTAGATCCGTCTAAGAGTGGTGGAATGTAGTGTGAGGAGACTAGCCAGTTTGAAGCTTGTAAATGCTTTTACTT